CCGAGAGGTAGGTATGGTACCTAGATCCCAACGCCCAGCCCTGGACTGATCTGCTTTGCGATTATGCGAGCTTCAAGGTTCCGCTTTGTAACTCTATTAGGCCATGATCTCACTACCTGTTAAGGTTACCTATATCGTGTACTGTATGAGCTTTTACGTATAATTGCATTCAGTGCTATTAGCATTCAATTATGCTATGTCGATATTTCCATCGAAAGATGTATCTACTCATCAAGTCAGTCGGAAGCTATTACCTGCTAATGTCAACGGAGATCAAGATTCGCATGTGATACTAGTCTGCATCCCACAAGATTTACCCACGACATTTGATATTTTCAATCGCGAGCTAGAATCCAGAATGGTTCGATGTATTCCTTTCCGGGGTAGAGTACTTCGTACATATGCATATACGCTGTGTCGGTATGAAAACAAAGCAGCTCTGACCAATTAACCCCATTGCTGCCTTGAGCAGTGGGTTTGGCAAGATGTGAAGTCACGTTGTTTCGCGCTTCATTGGCGTCGATCGAACCTTCCTCGAAGCCGTTGACGTGTGTTGCCTAGAAAAAAAGGGTTCGTAGTCGGGTTCTTCTCGATATTTATTTGACACTAGCACCCTCTCGGGTTTGTCTCGAACTCTTCCTACATTCACTATTTCATTCACTATTCATCTCATATCATTCACTTCGAGTCAATAGCCTCGTATTTGTACACTTGTCATTCACCTAAGGTACCTCGTAGTAGGTTTCTGTAAGGTTATCTACACCTTACACTCTACACTTTACACTCTACACCTTACACCTAGATTCCAGCACTCCCTCCATCGCACACTACACCATGCCGCCGCGAAAGAAGGCCGCTGCAAAGCCTGCACCTCCGCCGCTGGATGGTTGCAGCATTGCTATCAGCGGGACGATCCCCGGTCACACTCAAGGTGTGATCGAGAAAGACTTTATCCTTCCTCTTGGCGCGTTTCTAGCTAGATCTGTCACAGCGTCGACCACCCATCTCGTCACCACTGACGCAGACTACCAGAAGCGTTCATCCAAAGTTAAGGCTGCGGAAACCCACAATGCTGTCATTGTATCTTTTCAATGGCTTCAGGACTCACTTGCACAGACGAAGCGCATGACTGAAGACGACTATGTTTTCAACTCGTCACAATGTCAGTCTCAATCTACCCAGATCACCAATGGTCGGAAGCGGCGGGCCCCCAAGTCCGCAAATGACGAGGATGAGCTGCCAGCTGGGACCAAGAAAAGCAAGCCTTTGGAGACCGACGCCAAGGAACAGAACACCAAAGCAGTCAAAGTCGCCGATGGCCAGATTGCGAAGACTCGAGATGTTAGGATTCCAATCGACGAAGGCGCTGAAGGCAGGTTCCCGAAGTACGAAGTCTATATTGACGAGGATGGTGTTATCTACGATGCCTCCCTCAACCAGACCAACGCAACTGCTAATAACAACAAATTCTATCGAATTCAGGTACGAGCCTTGGGCTTTCGACATTTCGATTTTTTTTTCTAGCGAGTTTTCCTACTAACTGGCTCATCTAGTTGCTTCGTTCTGTCGATAGCGATTTTCTTACTTGGACGAGATGGGGACGTGTCGGCGAAAGGTACGTAAATTTTAAGCAATTTTCTTGTCCTCTTCTTTCGCAGCATTTCCTAACTGGGCTCATTTTGGCCCCAGTTCTCTTGGAATATTCTTGATACCATTGAGCGGTTGGTTTAAATAAGGTAATGTTGACTCTTTTTGTTATAGTGGTCAATCCAAAACCCTCGGCGATGGAACCCTGGGTAGTGCTCTTTACCATTTCAACGACAAGTTTAAGTCGAAGACTGGCTACTCGTGGTCGGATCGCACGGGGCCTCCGAAACGTGGAAAGTATGCGTTCATTGAGAGAAGCGTATGTACACCTCAATCTTTTTTATTGGTTACCATGCCTCAAACCAGAAAATAACCGTTTATTCAGTACGAACCGGACTCGGATGACGATGATGGCCAAGATAAGAATGCTGTCATCAAAGATGAACCCAGGGAAGAACCAGAATCGAAATTGTCTAAGCCGATCCAAGAGCTTATGCAACTCATCTTCAACCAGCAATATTTTGCTGCGACCATGGCCGATTTGAATTATGACGCTGCTAAGCTTCCCTTAGGCAAGCTCAGCAAGTCAACCATTACTCGTGGCTACGAGGCCTTGAAGGATCTCTCGGCCCTTATCGACAACCCGTCACTGGCATCGACACAGTACGGAACTAATTATCCTGAAGCATCGGAGCAGTTGTCAAATCTCTATTTTACGCTCATCCCTCACGCTTTCGGGAGAAACCACCCTCCCGTTATCCGAAGTCTGGACTTGGTAAAACGAGAAATAGAACTTCTCGAGAGCTTAGGAGGCATGAAGGATGCATCGCTGGTCATGAAGACGGAGCAGCTGGAGATGATGAACATGCTTGATCGACAGTTCCGCGGCTTAGGGATGGAAGAGATGACCCCGCTGAGCAAGAGAAGCAAAGAGTACACGCAACTTGAGGACTACCTAATGGAGACGAGAGGAGCCACTCATACCGCCAACTATCAAGTGTCGCAAATCTTCCGAATTGAGCGTCAAGGAGAGAAAGAGCGTTTCGAGGCTGTCCACGGTGCCCCTCGCGACAGACGACTTCTATGGCACGGCTCGAGATGTACCAACTTTGGTGGCATCCTGAGCCAAGGATTGCGCATAGCTCCACCCGAAGCCCCGGCGTCAGGTTACAGGTATGCTCATAAACCCTTTTCAGAACCCCTCGTGCTGTTTCATTGTTGTGAATGGGGGCTAACATGTCACAGTATGTCATGTCATTTTTCTCTCTTTCAGATCAAGTAAGAATTAGAACTTGGTACTAACTTGGAGCAGTGTTCGGGAAAGGTATTTATCTAGCGGACATGTCAAGCAAGGTGAGTACGCTGGCTTCAAGATATGAAGAAGGGGTACTAACCCGCGCCCTAGTCTGCCGGGTACTGCTGCCCGTATAACAGCAATGGCCATGCATTGCTCCTCCTTTGCGAGGCCGAGCTTGGAGACCCCATTCAGGAGCTCACTAACGCCTTGTACAACGCGGGCGAAACCGCGAAGGCGCGGGGAATGCTGTCGACCTGGGGCCAAGGACAGACGGGGCCGAGCCAATGGAAAGATGGCGAATGCGTCCACCCATCGCTGAAGGGCGTTAAACTCGTAAGGTCCTCATTCTAAATGCGTGCCTTCATCTACTGATTCCTTTCTGTAGCCCGATACCAGTGTTAAGCCTGGCGCTACCGGCATTCCCAACGCGGGTCTCCTATATAACGAGTACATCTGCTACGACATCTCTCAAGTCCGTCTACGCTACCTATTCAGAGTTAGGATGTAGGGCAACTAGCTCTGAATTTTGACGGTCATAACTAGAGACATCTTGAGCAGCGTCTCATTACTGGCTTTGAAGGCCATTCGTAACACCTCTTTCCTTCCCCTTGCTGTATGACATGGCTATACACTTTGCCGGAATTTTCAGAAAGGGAGAATATATTATTACGGGCTGAGGGTTTGATATCCTCCATGTAAGGGATCAGATGAGGAGCCGTGGTATCATGACGGCTTTACCGCCCTGATATGGTCTTTGATGACGAATGATGACTTCCAACACTAGCTATATAAACAATTTTCACTGTAAAACATTCCTGACAGTTGAACAGTTTTCGTGATGTCCCGCGGAAAAGATATTAACTACCCAAGGTAGTTTAGTCCATTCTTGATTGATTCATGCCGGATAAGCTCATTTAATAATTGATGAATATCATTCTTCTTCAACTATGCCCGTGGAGAAGAAAACCTATTATTGACTTCATTACAAAACATTAACTCCTATTTGACAGAACAAAGTAGCAATTTCTTTACTATGTCTTAAAACCAGCAATTGGTACACGTGGAAGACTCTAGTTAGGAAGTTCTCAGAGTATTTAACTACATACGACCATGTGCTCCCTAAAGGACTAATAATCTAGTTAGATGTTACTACGTGCTGATATCGATAGGAGACTTAACTAGCAGCTCCACGTCAAAGTGAATACGACAATGAGGAAAAGCGAGAGAGAAAAATAGAGAAAAAAACATACAACACCAGGGATTCGCTGGTCGTCACCGACCCAACTACTAGTCTGGCAGTATCTGGTTTATCAGGGGAGAGCGGACGGGATCCCGAGTTCTCCCGATCTTATGGTCGTATGTGAAAGATGGCGGTGCAGATATGTCTCATATCCTTTGCGGAGGTAGCCCACTGACGAGGTAACTACCTAAGGTAGGTAGTGGAAGTTACAAGTGGTTTTCCAGCCATTCTTCAACTTTCGCTGGATATTGATAACAGGGAATCCCTCATTTCGACCTGGTAGAAAGCGAGGTCATAGTCACACTGCCCAGCGAGGAGAAGTCAAAGGAGTGAAGAAGGTGAACCATGAGAGGCTGACTACCAAGTCGTGATACACACAGTGGTTCTACATAGACGACCCAAAAGTAAATTACATGACACTTGCAGGGACGGGAAAGGGAATTCATATTAATTTTTTTTTTTTTTTTTTTTTTTTTTTTTTTTTTTTTTTTTTTTTTTTTTTTTTTTTTTTTTTTTGCTTAGAGAGAGACATATATCTGAAACCCCAAAGTTTGTGCTAATTACGAGGGAGGAGGGGAGAAGATACAAGAGTGGGTGGTGGACTTCGACAAAATAGACAGGTCGAAAAGGGGGGGGCTGACGTGAAAAGTGAAATTTATAAGCTACAGAAAAATCTCAACATTGACCCATAACGCAATACACCTAGAACATGTTAGATGGGTGAAATGGCCAGAATAAAGAAACGACAACGAGAAGTGGAGGATAAGTGATGAGTAGGATATGATAACGGAGAGTTTTTGTGTGATGGGAAAAGTGCGAGATAAAAATGAAAGAAGTAGTTGCAAATCCCAGTTCTCTGGGAAGCATCAGGAATTGAGCCCGATGCGGGGGTCGAACCCGCAACCTTGAGATTGCTAGTGACCTTTGAGGTTACTGTTAAGAGTCTCACGCTCTACCGATTGAGCTAACCGGGCAGATGTTTCGTAAGCAGGCAGTGTTCGCCGGTGATAGTTGAGAATTTTTCCTGTCCGGCCTTATTGCGGATGTGGATATTGACTTGCTAGCTAGAGTTCCTGGGCTAGTCACGAAAGAAGGGTGGGTTTGACCGACGAAGGGCATCGTTGCGCTAGAAAAGGGGCCTCATCCATGTAATGTAGCCGAATATTCCATAGCTCGAATGCTATCAGAGACATTATATTGAGTCCTGTATAAATAACTAGGTACCTAGAGATGAGCTATGGGAAATAAAGAAAAAACTTTGCTATTCATGTCCTCGATTGACCAAAGCCCCGGCCTACGCACCATGCGCGGACCTAACCAAGCACCATCATGTATCGTAAACGTATGAAAAGAAAAATCGAGTCCAATCTGATGATATCACCGTCTAAGAGAGATCAAGATATAGAATATCTAGTATCTACAACTGTCATTGGCGCTGCAGAATGTACGCTACTGAAGCCAGGCTCGTGTAAAACAGTTAAGGCTTTGCCATGACATTAAACCATCTGCATCAACCTTAACCGCCCTGATCGCGGGGCATGCAGAACGCCGTTGCTTTCCTTGGGGGTTTGCCATGGAGTAATGAATAATGCCCGCAAAACGCCGTCATCTATGCAATTGTCATCTACATGATCCCTCTCGCCCGAAAGTAAAAAAGAAAGAAAAGTGCCCGAAGCAGACTCGGGGAAACCACGTGGAACACACTGTCTCATCTCTTTATGCTGTCGATCATCCTTATCGACAACAAATAGTAGCCCGTTATCGACCTTGGCCGAGCCGTCGTTTCCGCTCCTCCTTCTCCCGCTTGAGCTTCTCCTCCAGAGCCTGTTCTCGCTTGTCTTCTTGACGCGCCAACAGCTCAGCTCGTCGCTCCTCCACATCGATGTCAGATAATCCAGCTTCCATATCACTTGATGCGTCTGAGGCATAGCCATAGCCAGTTCCCCGGGGGTCCTCATCATCATCGTCGTAGTCGATGAAATCGTCCATTTCGTCGTCATATTCGTCTTCGTATTGATCCCGACGCTTCGCTTTTGGAGGCGCGAGGAGCCCGCCAGACTTGTAGGACGACGACTCCTTTCTGGAAGTAGACGATTTGCCCGATGCTGCACCAGGCCGAGGTCGGGCAGTCCCAGTATAGCCCGTGGTGGCGGTGGCTGACTTCTTGACCTTCTTCTCCATAGCTTCAGCCCCCGACGTGCTAGGCTTTTTACCACCTGCCTTTATGTCCTTCGTGGCACTAACCCGACTTCCTTCGCGAGAGGCCATTCCGGGCCGCTTCGCTTCACGGGATGATGCAGCGGAAGGTCTACCGTTTCCAAGATAGGGTTTCCCATCCTTTCCCTTTGTCATACCTGGCTTTTGCTCGCCCTTAATAGGCCGCTCTTTCTTGTTCTCAATAGCCTTATGCTGAATCATACCAACTTTCCCCATCGTTGCTTGAGCCTTCTTCGCACGTTCCATTATCTCCTGGTATGATCCCTTCTTCGGCGCTCTGGACGGATCGGATGTAGTAGGTGTCGTGGGTGAGGGTTTTGCAGGAGGCGCCTTAGATGCAGCTGCTAGAGCACCTGTACTTAGTTTCGGGTGGGGAGGTTTAGTTGGTTGTTTCGGGAGGGACGCGCTGGCCGATGTTCCAGCGAAAGGCTTGCCAGTCGAAGACATTCCCGGACGCTGTCCATTTGGCACTGGAGGTTCGTAGCGGCCATTTGTTGACGGCGAGTTCGTGCGGTGAGGTAAAGATGAGGGTTTGATGGGTGCGGATGTGGTGGTCTTCGGTCGTTCAACGTTTTCTGTTTTCACATCGCGGACGACCTTACTTGCCGAGTAAGATCCGTCTTGCTGTCGGGATTTAGCAAGTTTGACCGATGACGTCTGTGAATCATCTTCTGCCTTGCGCTTGAGGCTCGAGGATGCGGATGTCTTTGTGGCCGCAGGAGAGGGATTGCCACCCGAGATCTCGGCGAGGAGATCACCGATCTGTTTGCGCAGGGTGTTAGCGTGAAGACTGAAATGAGAGGAAGAGCGGGAAAACGGGTACTGACAGGCATGATGAAGAGACTTGCCGCCTGCTAGATAGCAGGGACGTCTTTGGTGCACAATTCGGTTGCCGTCAGGAGGGTGTGATGTGCCTGAGGCGTCATAAGTTGGCGGCCTGTGTCATATGCGATGACTCTATTCCCAAGACCCGATGCGACGTGAAAACGAGCGTGGATGAGGCCAGATTGACGAAATGTAGGATTCTATGAGTGCAGGTCGATTATATACGGAATATAATATCTACCCTACCAACGAATGCGGCCGGTCGAGCGCACAAAGAATGCGGGAATCGAGAGGCTTGTTAGTGATAAGAGGTTAAGGTTTGGACGAAAGAAAGTCTCGTGCCGTTTGCTCCTACAAATTGTAGGTGGTACGGAAGTACTTCTGAAATGAATGGAGAGCCTGATGCAAGTTCGGGCTGAAAGTATTAGCAGCCTCAGCAGCTCCATGCCATTGAGTCTCTGCTAAATCTTTTTGCGCACGGGTCTTGGCTGATTCCCTTTGCGTTTGCCTTGAGCTGGCAAACAAAAGTGTGGCTGGGCTACGTCATTTAAAGGCTGTAATTCGTCGATAGGGGAAGCCAGGTGACGAAAGCGATTACCAGCTGCGGAGTTGAGCCACACTGCTTCAATCGTCTTTCATTGGAAGATTCCAAGGTTGGCAGCAAGGCGACCCTAATCAGGTGATAGGCGAAGACCCACTCCACCTGAAGCTTGCCCACACTTCCAAATGTGCACCTAAAATCAACGGAAACTTTTCTGGCGGAACAGAGAGTCGTCAACTTCCTCAACCTCGTCACACCGAAATCACTACAGAACTCGAAGGCTCAGTCTCCGCCCAAATTTTGCGGTTAAATCGATTGATTTCTCGTGTTCTTCTCACATTTCTCGTAAGTAATTCTGTTTATAGTTTTCAGCGCGCATCGAGTTAGACGTTGCAATTAATTGTTCGACTTGCACCCCGCCATCCTTGGTTGCGAAACACACTCACCAAGATATTAAATCCTACCTTAGCTAACAGAAGTACGCACACAGAAACAACAAATCAAAATGAAGCACCTCGCAGCTTACCTCCTCCTCGGCCTTGCCGGCAACACCTCGCCCTCCGCTAGCGACATCAAGGAAGTTCTCGAGTCCGTCGGTATCGAGGCTGACGAGGAGCGTCTAGAGAAGCTCCTGTCTGAGCTTGACGGCAAGGACATCAACGAGGTTTGACTCCCTAGATCTACTCGGGAGATACGGATTGGACTAACAGGGCATTGTAGTTGATTGCTGAGGGTTCCAGCAAGCTCGCTTCCGTTCCCTCGGGTGGTGCTGGTGGTGCCCCGGCTGCTGGCGGTGCTGCTGCCGGTGGTGCTGCCGCCGAGGAGAAGGAAGAAGAGAAGGAAGAGGGTATGTTTAACCACTCGTCTTTTTGCTTTGAATCAACATATACTAACAAACGTATCCAGAGAAGGAAGAATCCGACGAGGACATGGGCTTCGGTCTATTCGACTAAGCAGTTCTCGCAAATGGTTACGAGAACAACGAAGCAATGCATTTTTGGAGAAGTGGCACGAAAATGGGCTGAGGTGGTCTGGCATGGTATCCGGCGTGGATGGGTCTGCGTTTGATAGGTTCTACATGAACCAGGTTCTGCTATGGCATCTAGAGACGATTAAGGCAAAATACAGTCCTGCTTCTCCAGCTTTGTGGTATTTGTCTTATTCGTGCGTTGAATGCATTGTGACATGAAAGAACACACTTACAACAAAGGTCATGCAAGTGCTAATCCATACTACCCTTTTCAATCCTTGAAGCAGTCTGCAAATCCACCACAACTAGCGAGACTGTAGGACCGTGAGTACGGGATAGAAGGACAGGGCCATCGCAACCTGGCTGCTTAATCAGAATACATAAGATTTTAGAGGGGCAGATGAACATTGAAATACGTACCGAGCATAATGCATGCCAGATTGATTATCTTGTGCAAATTACCTAGGTACATAACGCTAGTGCAACCCGCTCTGACCACCTACTTTTTCGGGCACATACCTGATTGGCTCAAATCGGGCAAATGTCACCGTTGCTCCTGGCAACGGGGGAAAAACGAAAAGAATGCCAAGCCGATGCACAGGGAGGCTGTGGACAATCCGGAAACATCCTGTCAACGAAGCATGAACGCGCCAATTACTTTCGCATAGCACGCCGCATTCCTTCAGTCTTGCTACCAAATTTCAATCTTTTGGATCATGACCTGTTCCGACACGTAGAACATCATTTAAATCGATACTAACCATTGCCAATTCGTTAACCGACGCGCTTTTAATTCGAATTCCAGCAGTTTACAGGATAAATGGCCTCTGCATCACCGACGCCCGCAGCGTCGAGTCACACCTCGACTGCTCCAACGAGGAAGTCGTCGCTAAGGTCAGGAATGAGGAGAGCACCGTCCAGGCCACAATTCAGTCGCGCCGAATCCAATCCAGCACCGTCGGCTCACGGATCCAAATCGCAATTCGCCGAGAACGAGAGTTCCGACGACGAGATTCCTGTGCCTATGAAGCTCAGTGCCCTCACCAAAGCCCTACTCAACGACCAAGGTGCCGAACCCGAGCGGGAAGCGGGACGCGTCCTGCGAACTCGTGCTCAGAGCCATCGTCCTTCCTCGCCAGTTCAACCAATTCCTGCTGAACAGGAGAAACCCGTCAAGAGACGCAGTGTTCTGAGCGCATCGGTGATATCAGCTAGCGAGGAAAGGAGGCATACGCGTGCTAGTAGTGCGCAAGCATCATCGCGACCGACCTCACCCGTGAGGAGCCACCAGAGCCACCAAGAAAGTAGTCCCGTCAGGAAGCGAGTGGTTCGATTAAGCGCAACAGGAACTGCTTCTGCCGCCCAACCCAAGCCAACCAAAAGAAGGTCAACATCAAATTCGCTTGCGAGTTCACAAAGCA